ATTTATATCAGTTCAGTAGATGTGTTATTTTTTTAATGCATATTATTCTCTTTCTAACTTCTTGTACACTTTGAAAAAATCAATCATTAAAGAAAAGTCAAAAACTGCCTTAAGATTTTTCTTCCAGTGCCTCCTCTTCCTTTCACTCCAGCATGCAATTGCTTTTATAGGTAAAGGTAGTATTTATTATTGGTGAAAACCACTATGACACATTTGGCTGAAATAAAGTTTGCTCTTGGAAGTAAACTTTGTTCCTTTTCCTCATTTCTTCCTAATTTGTTTGGCACATCAAAGCAGGTACTTATATGTTAAGAATGGTTTCTTTGTTTTTCTATTTTGGCTTCATTTCATTCTGTTTTGGGTAATATGTTTAAGTATCAAGACATCCAATGTACTTACATTTGTACACATCTCTCTCTCTCTCTCTCACACACACACACATTATAATTGCCCAACGCGGTGTAAATTGTTCGTATATGCTCTCTCCGTCACGTTCCCAGCTTTTGCCCTGAGAGTGAGTGTCTGTCGAGTGTTTTGCCCGCCTCCTCTCACAGGTAGAGCGACTCCCGCTTGAGCCGCAGTCCCGCGGCGTAGTGCGAGTGGTGCAAGTACGCTGCCTGCGGCCCGCTGACGGGCTGCTTCGTCACGTTGGCCATGGCGCAGCCCATGGCGAGCTCCAGGAGTCGGCACAGCGTCTGGAACGCGAACCACAGCCAGGCGGGGCCGCGCCCGCTCTCGCAGCTGCCGACGAGCTGGCCTGCAACGAGCACGCAGATAACGGGGTGAGAGGGACTTCCCCGCGGGGGAGCCGGAGCTCTGAGGGCCTCACGCCTCACCGTAAGGGCCGAACAGCTGGAATATGGTGGCCACGGACAGCACGAGCCCCATGACGGCGGTGGCGCTCGTCAGGTGGATCACCTCGCGCAGCTGCCGCCGCCGGTTGGAGGTCTGCACGCGCTCCTCGCTGTTGGCGCGCGGCCCGCGGTTCACGTACGCGATGTGGTTCAGGATCGAGTGCAGGGTCACGTCGTCCGTCTGCAAAAAGCAAAAAAAGGTGTGCCCCGGGTGAGGATCGAACTCACGACCTTCAGATTATGAGACTGACGCGCTGCCTACTGCGCTACCGAGGCTGTCGAACGTTCGCAGATCGTGTGAAACCATAACGTGGGCCCGGTCGACTCCCCGAACCATGCGCCGAGAGAAGGGGAATGACGGGATGGGGGTGGGGGCCACGGCGCATCTGTGTCCGAAAGCCGGAACAAAAAGAAAGTCATGACCCCGACGTGATTTGAACACGCAACCTTCTGATCTGGAGTCAGACGCGCTACCGTTGCGCCACGGAGTCGTCTGCGGTCCGAGGACTGTGACGCTCTTCTTGGTGAGCTGGCCGGCAGAGCGCGACCGTCCGGCCCGGCCAGACGCTCGTCGCGTCGGCCCGCGGGCTCGGGTCGGCCGACCGGTCGCGGCCGCGAGTCCGCGGCTTCGGGTGCGACCCGCGCGCTTTATCTCGGGCTGTCTCGGGGAGGACTCGCTCGCCTCGCCGACACTTTACAAAGTGTGTCGCGACTGTCCCCAACAGCTCACCTTGAACTCCGTGTCTTGCGAGGGCAGAAGCTTTGTCTCGGCGGTGGCGTTGTCTTCGGCCACGCTCTCCGACTTGACCGATTTTGAAGGTGTCGATTCGTTTTCCTGAAACAGGAGCGCGGGTCAAAGGTGGACATAGGCTCGCATTCACCCCCCTCCCCCTACACAATGAAGTGGGTGAAGAGTGCTTATACCGGCGCCTGGCACAAGTCGTCGTCGCCCTTCCAGGTCAGGCTCTTCTTGCGCCTCGTCGGCGAGGGCGAGAGGGAGTTGTCCAGGACGGTCAGCGACTCCGGCCCGGGTCCCGGCCCTTCCTCGGCGATACGGAGGAGCGACGCCGAGCTCCCGCGGCGGCTGCAAACAGTCAAAGCATCCTTGGTGTGGTCTGCGGCGGCTGCGTTTGCGGACGACGACGACGACGACGACGACAAACACCATCGCGTTGTGCAAGCGCCGACGCTCACCTTGGTGGCCCTCCGTCCTCCGGCAGGATGGGTTCGAGGCCGCAGCTGCTGCGCCGTCGGGACGTCCCCTCCCCGGCCAGGCCCGCCTCCAGACACCTGTCGCACACGGAAGAAAGCGTCACGGGGTTGCGGAAGGTGGTGCGGCTGATGGCCTTTATTGCCGCGCTGCCGCGCAGCTGGCTGCTGGTCTTACGAGGATCCCCTCCTGCTGAGGGACGCCGTGCTCCCCCGCCGGCTGCCCGGACACACCGTGATGGTGGGCGTGGCAGGCCGCACCGTGACCGCGGGGGCGTCCGCGTCCTCGGTCCGGATGACGGGCGGCGGCGCCGAGGGCGGCGGCGCGGCGGGGGTCGCCAGGGGCGCGGGGCTCACCTTGCTGGCGCTGGGGGCCGAGCTGACCGCGCGCCTAGAGCCTGCACAGAGAGGACATTGGGCAGGTTGAGCAACACAACACAGTGGCGCAGGGCGCGCTTGGCCATCTCTCACGTAGTACCGTGCGGCGGATGCGGATACCCCGTCTCTAGGGCGTCGCGCTGACGCGCTGTGGCTCGCGCACGGAGTATACCTCGCGGAGAAGAGGGGAGGGGATCGAGCTTCACCCCCCCC